AAAATATAAATTATAATTTTTTAGAAAATATAATTAAATTAATATAATATGTAGTTTAATATAATATATATAATATATCTAGACTTTTTGTAATAAAATCCGTAGTTATAGAAACTTTAATTCTACTATCAAATTTTTTTTAATAAAAAAAGTGAAAAATACTAATTATATGTTTATATAAAATATTCATTTTATCAAATTAATTTCGTTTATTTCTTATTATTATTATGTAATGTAATTTTATTATATAAACTACAATACATCATAATAGAAATAAAATGTATTATTAGTTGTGATTATTCAATAAATATGTCATTAATTATGATTGAATTATTTAAATTAATTGAATTGTTAAATTAGTTAATTATATTAGTTATATTAAATTAATTAAGTTACATATTATAATATATAATTATTATTATTAATATATTATATACATAATATTGTAATATTAATAAGTCTTGTTGATGCTAATTTTATAAATTAATATATTAATATTAATTTATTAATACTTTATATACATTATTACTATTGCATATTACATTACAATTTTCTGGGAATATTTACATATTTATATATAAATATTATGCTTTTTATTATTCAAAATTCAATAATTTAATAAACTTAAAAAAAAATAGATAGTTATTTTTGTAGTATTTTAATAAAAAAAATTAATTTTCATCCAAAGAATTAAAAGTTTTAAAAGATATTACACAAATTAAATAAAACACAATTATAAATATATTTTTATAGTAGTAAATATATAATTGATAAAAATCATGTTTTTTTATTCATATTAAGTAGATAATTATATCATTTTTATTTACTTTAATTTTGATTTAGAGTGAAATAATATTTTTAGAATAAAGAATTAAATAAATAATAATTTTTTAAAAATATAATTACAAACATTGAATTAGAAAAATGGAATGAAAATATGATTGAAACACAATTCATTTCGTTTCAGTGGTCTCTTGGATTCGCAACGACAAATAGCGATGATTTCCGAGATGATCCATAACGCTTCCTTAATCCACGATGATGTAATCGATCAACCAGGTTTCCGTCGTGGTAAACCTTCGATTAATGTTGTTTGGAGTCGGAAAAAGGTAAGATTTAATAAAAATATATAACATTGAATTGTAATAAAATTTCTTTCTTGGAATATCCGTTATATGAACATTCTATTTATGATCGTTATGCGTAAATATTTTATTATAGATAATA